GGGTGCCTTTGGTCTTTTAGGACCCTTTCAATGTCCCTTTTACTTGTAGGTGTCACAAAAAGGGCTTTAGAATTTTATCTGTAGACGTTTTTCAGTGAAAGGAAACTATAATGATCTTATTTTAGGTTTTTCTATTTAAATTTTTTATTTTTTACTGTATGTGCCCAGTTTTTATTTTACAAATAAGCATTTTTTTGCATGGCCAAGGGTTCCCAAAACACTATGGGGGACATTTATCAAAACAGGAGCAGACAGAATCTGGAATCAGCTTCTCTCTTCAGTTTGTTGAGTTATAGACCGTTTTTAGTAACCCTTGCAGTGGGGCTACTCCCGCGCTACAAGGGTTAACTGCTCATTTGTGTCTAGGTGCTAAAAGAAAAGTTATACTCGATGTTCCGAGCCCGTTTGTTCTTAGACCGGTCCTTCCAGCCTCCGCTGCAGCAGTCTAAGGTCTTGTAAATCATCACTTATTATACACTGTGTATAGACGTGAGAATGCTGAGGAACATTCCAATGCTGCAGCATAGAGGAGACAGGCTTCCGAGACCAGAGAAGCAGGGAGCTGGCTCAGCAGTTTCAGTGAGTATAATTGTTGTTTTTTTTTTTAAGAACCTAGACAAAACCTTTGCAGTTAGAGGGTAGTAAAGGGTTAATAAAAGTTTTGCCCGGGATTCTAATTTAGGCTTTGAAAATGATAGAAGCGGATTGGTTACTATAAACCAATAATATTTAAAAAATTAAATATTTTGCAAATTTTTTTAAATTGTGAAAACCAATATACACTGTCTGCCAGTTATAATACGTCCCCAGTCCTCTTCTTTGTGATGAAATGACTTTAGCATGTGGGAACTGTTTTATTTTTTACAGTTTGTTTGTTGGCCCGTTTCTGTGCATTTCCGGTTTCGTTTCTCTGGTTATCAAAAAAAACCGTGTCATGAAAGGAGTTCCCCTTCTTGTGATTACTGAACTATGTAACTATGTACTTTTGCCTGATGTTTTTAACAGCAGTTTTCTCATTATGGAAAAATGGAACTTAACTGTAATGCATACATGAAACAAACTTCCATGTTTAGGTAAGATGGACCTAAACTGAGAAAGGTTTGTTATATTATAGGGAACATTTAGAAATGCTCAAGCAGAGCCGTAGCTAGCTCCTTTTGCGCTCGAGGCAAGAAGTGAAAATTGTGCCCCACAACAGACTTGTGTGGTATGTGACATCATGCACCCCGCCTACAGAATGGCGGTGCGCATGTGCAGAATGTGCTGGTGACCAAATCCAAAATAGCAAAAATATTTTTTCGTTTGACGAAACCAATGAAAACATTTTTAGTTTCCGTTCATTTCATCCTAAACAAATGTTTAGAGCTGCAGCTAACGATTATTTTCAAAATCGATTAGTTAGTCGATTATTAGGTTCGATTAATCGGTTAATCGGATAAACCATAAAATAGAGTTCAAAAAAAGGCTCCAGTGATGGGACTACTAGTTTGTATTGAGGTTGTAGTCCATCACAGGAGCAAGCTTGGAGCGGTGGAAGTAAAAAAGAAAAAAGATAGTGTGGTGTGCAATATAGTGAAATGGAAAGTGTAAAATTATACAGCAATGAATGCAGAATACCACCAGCTATAGAGGAATACAACAAATCCCAGCAATAGTACATAATAGCTGGCGGCATTCTGCATTGCGCTGTATAATGTACTATTGCTGGGTTTTGTAGTCCTCTATAGCTGGTGGTATTCAGCATTGCACCACTGTATAATGTATTATTGTTGGGATTTTTTGTACTCTTCTATAGCTGGTGGTATTGCGCTGTATAATGTATTATTGCTGGGATTTGTATTCCCCTATACAACGCAATGCAGAATACCACCATCTATATAGGAGTACAACAAATCCCAGCAATACATTATACATACAGTGTATAATGTATTGCTGGGATTTGTAGTCCTCTGTATAATATACAGCACAATGTACCATCAGCTATAGAGGAATACAAATCCCAGCAATACATTATAGAGCACCACGTGTGGAAAAGTGCAGGCTTACCTGAGCAGTCTTCCAGCAACTTGCTTCTGAGATCGGACCTGTCTATCGGCGGCTGTCATCCCCCCACACCTGCTCCTCCTTACTACATCTCCCCGCGTCCCTGTGCCGATCGTGGATGTGGGCGGGCGGTGAGTGTGAGGCGGGGAGGAGGTGCGGCGTGAAGAGCGTGGATGCGGGCGGGTCTGGCAGCGGCGAGCGTGAGGTGGGGAGGAGGTACGGCGCACAGCGTGTGGAGCTGTGAACAGGGCCAACTGATCGGAAGCCGATTAATCGATTATTGAAAAAGTTGACAACTTTTTCAATAATCGATTATAATCGATTGTGTCAATTAGTTGTTGCAGCCCTACAAATGTTTAGTCTTTGCACATGTCTAGTAATGTGTGCATGTGGGGGGTATTTTATTTTTGTTACGATTTTTTTTTAAAACTTTTGGGGGGCTCCGGGGAAATATCAGGGGTCTAAACAGACCCCTGACAATTCCCTTTTGAAATAGAAAAAGAGATTGAAAACACAGAGTCCTCTGCCCATACAGGTGGGGGAGAGCAGCAGGGATCCGAGGGGAAACTGGAGCCCGTGCCGCTCCTCTTCTCCCTGCCGAGTCGTGGCTGTGTTGGGCGCCTGGCGCCCCCTTTGCCAATGGCGCCCTGTGCTTGCCATGGCAACAGGGGCAAGGGGACGCAGTCAGGCTGGCCCTGGCTGCGCCTCCTCTCGGTTGCGCCTGAGGCGAGTGCCTCACTCGCCCCATGGTAGCTACAGCCCTGTGTTCAAGTGTCACTAAACCCACAATGCAAAAATAAAAATAATATTGCGTGCCTTTAAACATTATCCATCTTTACCCCTTATAATGTCATTGTCAGACTGGACATTCATAAAGATACGTTTTCAATCTGTTGAGCTCCAAACTTTCTTATTGAGGGTGGCACTGCGTTTGCTCTGCATGATCCACCACCCTGCGCTCGCTCCCGAAAGCACTACAGAAATGCATGCTGACGCATCCTGCGATAGCATGTAAAAACACAAATGCCCATTGATAACATAGCCACCCACTGGTTCAGAGTGACTACGGAACCGGGAAGAATAATACGATGCATGCACAGTAGAATCCCTGGCCACGTTGATGCCTGTGAAATGTAATTACACAAATGCCCATCGATAACATAGCCACCCACTGGTTCAGAGTGACAGCGGAACTGGGAAGAATTATAAGATGCATGCACAATAGAATCCCTGGCCACATTGATGCCTGGGAAATGTAGTTCAACCAGAGCTGTGCACATTCGTGCACTGCTCCCAACCACAAAATGGAAGTTGAAGGGAAAGAGGCTCTTTAGGACCGCTCATTTATAAGGCAAAAAACGAGGGTTAGGTTGTATTGTAAGACATTTTCAGCTTTTATCTAATTGCGGTGGTATTGTAGTCTGTGCTGCATTTGGTGGATAGTTGGATATGGAGAGTTTAGTGACACTTTAATTGTGCCTAAACGGTACGCTGAAAAATCTACCTCTTGAATTGGTGAAGTAAAATATCTGTGCACTTCCTGTATATGAGGGTGCCTAGGAACTCCTTCCTGTAGCCTCATAGCTGTATATCTGCAGTGAGAGATCTAAGGCACTGCTGCCTCTGACTGCTATTCTCAGGTGATTTGAAGTGAGAGTTGGTGCTGTCACTACTGTGCTGATCACTGTTCTTTTTTCTGGAGGGAAAAGTCCTTTCCCTGCCAAGACGGCCGCCTCCAAACCAAGAAACAAGTGCATGGTTAGTCAGTAACAGGGAAAGCTCAGCTGCAGGATGACCACAGGCAATACAGTTTGATTAGGAATGAGCTCAGGTCTGCTTCCCAGAAGGAAGCTGCCAGTGCTGGCCCGATCAGCTGACCCTCAGCTGCACATAAACAAAGGGGTGGCATGTTGGTGACATCATTGACTGTATATGGACACAAGGTCAGTGATGTCGCCAGCATCCCACCCCCTTTGTTTATGTGCAGCTGCGGGGTGGGAATGCCCTGGCCGTAGCCAGTTGGGCCAGCACTAGGTTCAGATGAACTCAAGTTCAGACTTTTTTTTAGGGGGGGGGGGCACAGCCTCCATTTCCTGTTTTATTATTGGTATTTATTTACTGCATACAGAGACCCATATCTCCGCCCCCATAAAAATACTGCATACATTCCTCAACGGGAGACAAAAGGTGTAATCTAATTGTTTATAATAAACATATGGCCCAATGCAAATGTACTACAAGACTAGGGATGTGCGCAGGATCAGACCAAGGCTGGTCCCAATGTGAGCTCCTCTGAACATTGAAGTAAAATCCTTCCGCTGCGGCCCATTCATTTGTGGCTTGGAAATTCCCTGCATGTAAGCAAAGGGATACTTTGACGTCATTGACCTTTTATATGGCCACGTGGCTACATTTGGGCTATGGTATTGACCTTATTTGGCCATGTCAATGACCTCCGCACAAGCATCCTGCCCCGTGTTTATGTGCAGCTGCAGGCCACGGAACACCTCGGCCCACAGCTGATTTAGCCATTGACCCCATGTAGCTTCCGGGTTCGGAGGCGCTCAGGTTCAGTCCAAATTCTTCAGTGAATTTGTTTCAGGCAATATTGTTATACTTTTTGATATGTAAGTCTCTGTGGTGGATGCAGTTTTTCCATATAGAGAGGGGATATATATCTGGGTATACTTTTAGATTATTTGTAATAAAGTGACTTCTAAAAGTCCTGCTAAATTTCAACAAGCTTACAAAACTTTTTTCTGGATTTTTGTCATTTTCTTTTTTGTCATTTGTGTAGAAATGATGTGTAAGCATTTCCACCTTTTTAGTCTGTGTTTTGGGGATAGGTCCACTTTCAGCATTTTCACATTGGCATCAACCGTCAATGTAACTTTTGCTGTGTTTGCATTGTCATTTTAATTATACAGTAACATTACATTGCTTTTTTTTGTTCACAGGAAGATGCGGCGCTGTATCGCCATCTAGCGGCCATACTTAGGCATTGCTTAATCAGGCAAAGTGACGGTGAAGACAGAACAGAAGAATTCCATGGGTAAGATCCCAGAGCTGGTTCAGTGTGTATATGCACATTAAAGAGAAATATGCACCCTTCGTCTGGAATTCCTACTGAGAAATAGCAGTGCACTTCCTGATGAGCGTACCTAGGCAGGGGCGTCCTGAGGCCGAGTGTCTGCTGTCTCTGACTGCTAGTCTTGGGAGATTTGGAGTGAGATCTGTCACTGCTGTGCTGCTCACTATTCTTCTTGCTGGAGGCTCTCACATGAGGAACCAAACCCCTGCCCCTAGCAAGCTGGCCGTCTCCACCTGGAGATGGAATAAGGCAAAGTAAATCAGTAATGAGGAAAGATCATCTGCAGGGGGACCACAGGCAATACTGCTAACTAGTACTTTGTCCCCTGCCTGCCTTTTCTTTTTAGGCAGAACTACAAGAGTTTGGTTCCACATTGGGATTTAAAGCACTGTTCTTTACAGCTGAATCCCCTCTGCAGTGACACATCTAATATAAGTCTCACCACAGTAATCATCAGCCTCCATTGTAAATGATGAGACAGTGAACTCAGAACAGTGGCTTAGTGGGTAGGCCTGTGGTCTTGCAGCACTTGAGTTATGAATTCAGCAATAGTAACTAAAAGTAAGTGCAGCAGAATATGTTGACGCCATATCTACACCTGTCATGAAGACCTGTATAAAATCTGCCTTTCCTGACTGTGCAGCTTTTGAGAAGATACGCTATTAGCATAGCGGGGAAGGCGGCTGCGCATTTTGCATCACTCCCGCACCGCTAACAGCGTATCTTCTCAGAAGCTGCACACTGAGCGCGTCATAGGCAGACACGCCCTCCAATCAGGCACTGTAGAGGGCCGGGTGAATGTGGCAGAGAGAGGGAGCCACTGCATCTGCGGCCAGGGGCTTCGTTTAGCAGGGATTGTGACGGTGCGTGACGCCCCGCAACAGTCATGCGCCCGGGGCAAGCGCACCCCCCCCGGTTGTTACGCCAATGTATCAAAGATCATGCAGCATAGCAATAGAAAAGTAGTGTTCTGTTTCTTGTTGTAGTGATTTGATTTGAAAGTTAATTAAACCAAGTTTTTGTATCCTTGTACAGGCACACCGTAAACCTGCTAGTGAACCTCCCACTCATGTGTCTTGACGTTCTACTGACACCTAAAGTGGAGCATGGTTCTGTGGAGTACATGGGAATGAACATGGACACTGTGGAGGTCCTAATACATTTCCTGGACAGGAGGTTGGACAGGGTGAGTGCTGTAACATGACTGACAAACCTGAATGGAGATGAACTCTGCAGGAGATGTAGATGAACTCCTCTAGATCCTGGATCACACCTTTATTAGGGTTCATGTTGATGTGAGACGTCCACAAGCTCCCTTTGCTGGTGCCGTCATCTTCGTCCAGTCTTCTTCCAGGTTTGAGAAAATTCACCATCTTGATTGGCTGTGGTGGGTTGACATAAATCCCATGCATTTGCGGGAGTTCATTAATTCCGGTAGACTGAGCTGTGCATGCGTACATTGTTAAGAGAACTATGGCCAAACCTTTTTTTCGGCGTTCATTCCCTTTTGAGTCACAGGATGACATTTACTAATGCCCTCCTGTGACCACAAACTCAGCATATATCGGGCAAAAAGCTATTGCCCGCTATATGCTGACAGCACAGAACCGTGCTGCAGCCGGGAGGGATCACGACAATATTGTCGAGCTCCACCGCTACTTGACTGACAGCTGAATTTGCCTCTCTAGAGTCAGAGCCAGCTGTGCCCGCCCCCCTCACCTTTGCTCTGGAAGAACAGAGAGGGGAATCGCTGACTGTCAGTCACCGCTCTCTGCATGGAGAAAACCGTGAGCTGAGCGATCAGTGGTTTGTGATTTGCTCAGTTTCTCGATCTACAGAACCGACATGTGACACTTGCACTCTAACTATCGGGATAAGTACATTTCACTCCCCCCATAGTTTTCCTTTAAGAAGACTGCAAACAGGCATGTAAGACATTTCTATATTCCCTTTGCACAGCATTCTCACCACAAGATGGAGCCAAGGAGCATAGGAATTTCCTATGTTCCTCAGCTCCATCTAGTGGGGAGAAGGCTGTGTGAATGGCATTCGCCTAGTGTATGGTTGGGTGGATGATTTACATATCATCTCCACTATGTCTCTTCTGCAGTTAAAAGCTTGCCTGTTCGCACATTTTTTATTTCGGGTTCCAACTTACAGTACATTTGAACTGCAGGGAAAGCAGATCAAATGCAGCATTTTCATGTCAAACACTGCGTTTCTTGTGAAGTGTTGTCTAGAGATGAATAAATGTCACCAGCACACAACCAGTATTGCAGTCCAAAGAGTTTGTTTCATTGCTGAGCCTGATGAAGGGGACCCTGCATGGCCCCGAAAGCGCTAGTTTTGGTGACATGACGTTCCAATAAACTAACTCTTTGGACTGCAAAACTGGTTGTGTGCTGGTGACATTTATTCATCTTTATGCTGTGTGGCGGCGCCATCCGCAGGTCACTACAAGCACCCCCCCTCATTCAACTTTGGTTTTTTTCCGGTAAGGAGTGTGACAATGTATCTTTTTGTTTGTCTCAGTGTTTGACTAGAACGCCAATCGACAATGAACCCTTAAACACTTTAGCTCCCCCATTCTGCATGGACCAAAACAATGTTTACATTTCAGCTGTGTGTTTATTGATTCAGCAATCAATTTGTCATTAAGGTGCAAATGCAACTTTATCTTGATGGAATCTTCCTAAACTTATTTTATTTTCTTTAAAGGCAGTGAAATTTATAAACAGAAGTTTCTTTTGCATGTTATTCTAAAAATAGTGTCACTGCAGTAAGGAACTAAAAATTGTATTTTGGTTTTTGTTCCAAATCACCATTTTTATGCATATTGTCCAACTCCAAGCTGTATAAGCTTAAAGGCTTATTGGATTTAAGCATATCAGGTGATGTGTATTTGTGTTATGAGCGAGGGTGTACCCTAAGGAGACCAACGCCCCCTTTCAAGGGGTGCATAATAATTAGGCAGTTTCTTGTCTTCAGGTAAAATGGGCCAAAAAAAAATTTTTACAGACTGAAAAGTAAAAAATTTACAAAAAAATTTGTAAAGTCTTTCAGAGGGATGCAGCACTCTTGAAATTGCTAAGATATTGGGGTGTGATCACAAAACCCTCAAACCTTTTGTTGCAAATAGTCAACAGGGTCACAAGAAATGTGTTGAGAAGGAAAGACGCAAATTAACTGCCAAAGATTTGAGAAGAATCAAACGTGAAGCTACCAGGAACCCATTATCCTCCAGTACTGTCATATTCTAGAACTGCAACCTACCTGGAGTGCCCAGAAGTACAAGGTGTTCAGTGCTCAGAGACATGGCCAAGGTAAGGAAGGCTGAAACCCGACCACCACTGAACAAGACACATAATTTGAAACGTCAGGACTGGGCCAAGAAATATCTGAAGACATATTTTTAAAAGGTTTTATGGAATAAAAGCGACTCCTGACGGACCAGATGGATGGGCCCGTGGCTGGATCAGTAACGGGAACAAAGCTCCACCTCAACTCAGACACCAGCAAGGTGGAGGTGGGGTACTGGTGGGCTGGTTTTAATAAAGATGAGGTAGTTGGACCTTTTTCGGGTTGAAAATGGATTCGAAATCAACTCCCAAACCTACCACCAGTTTTTAGAAGACACTTTCTTCAAGCAGTGGTACAGGACAAAGTTTGCATCTTTCAAGAAGACCATGATATTTATGCAGGACAATGCTCTATCTCATGCATCGAAGTATCTCCACTGCATGGCTAGCCAGTGAAGGCCTTAAAGATGAAAGAATAATGACATGCCCTCTTCCTCACCTGATCTAAACCCTATTGAGAACTTGTGGGCCCTTCTTAAACGGGGGATTTCCAGTGAAGGAAAACGGTGCCCCTCTTTGAACAGTGTCTGGGAGGCCGTGGTTGCTGATGCACAAAAAGTTGATCGTCAACAGATGAAGAAACTGACAGACTCCATGGGTGGAAGGCTGATGACTGTTATTGAAAATAAGGGGGGCTATATTGGTCACTGATTTTGTTTTTGAAAATGTCAGAACATTTTTGTAAATTTTGAGTTGCTTGTTTATTATTCTCACTTTAACAGATGAAAATAAACAAGTGAGATGGGAAAATTCTCGTTTTCCATTTAGTTGCATAATAATCCTGCACACTAATAGTTGCTCAATAATTGTGCACACCCAAATATTCTCCTAAGAAAGCCAAAAACTCACTTTTTAACTTTCTTAAATATTCAGGTTTGAGGTTTATTAACATTTTGGATTGACCGCGAGCAATAATGAAATGAATCCTCAAAAATACAACTTGCCTAATTATTGTGCACGCAGTGTATGGCTACATTGTATAAATGAATGAAGAAGGCACCAGCTTTTGCACACTTAAAGTGGACCTGCACAAAAAAGCAAGGCTTGCTTGTTGCATGCGGCACACCTGCCCTTTGTCAAATGCCTGCCACACTTGTGGAGAAAATAAATTACAAAAACTTACAGCTGGCTTCTGTACTGGAGTGAGGGTGATGTCATGATCCTTCTGGCGACATCGTTGGAACAATGAGTATCCCTAATCTCGGGACAAGATGCTCCAGCATTGTGGGATCCTCATCCTTCCCAGGATGTCTCCAGAAGGAACATGACATCACTCTTGCTTAGGCAGATGCCCAAGTGTAAAGCAAGTATATTTTCTTTTGCAGGCTTTTTTTCTTGCAGGTAAAATGCAGGTTTTGGACGAGGGGTTTGCCCGCCAGGTAATAAGCTGACAATGCTGTTAATTTGCACAGGAGCAACTGTAAAAGCTCCCACAACACATAGCAGGAACTTGGCAGTCAAGCTGACATCCACTTTTAAAAGTGGGCACTTCTTGGGTGGGGGGTTTAAGTGCTAGGTGAATGAAGTTTTCCTAAGGTCTTTACAGGTCCATGAGTGGTTCATGCACACAGAAATCTGCTCATATAAAACATAAGACTAATCAACAGACAACTATTTCACCCTGAGACAAGTATGCCTGTCTCAGGGTGAAGTGTTTGTTGTTTAATCTCACATTTTATATGAGCAGATTAAATGCCCACTTTTAAAAGTGGATGCTGGCTGGACAGTCAAGTTCCATTCTTAGGAAAATGGTCCGTTAGTATTACTTTTGCTGTTATGTGAATGCTAGAAGCTAAATGTTTGTATACATTGCATGCTTAGATAATGTAATACAAAGGTTGTTTTTTTTTGTACATATTTTCTTTTTATTATTAAAGCTGAACTCTTGTCAAAACACACATTGTCTAAATTCAAGCAGCATACAGTATATATTCTTACAGAAATCTTGGTGTGTTTTTGTGTATTTCTTTTAGATCTGTGCAGTAATCCAGTGTGCGTTTTTGCCTCTGTGCAGGAGCTTCCTGTAAACAAAAAGACCGGTCACTGCTGGGCAGGGTGACTGGTCTTGTATCCACCCCCTTCTGTAGTTTTCAGCAGGCAACCTGTAGTGGATGGGGCCTACTGGGTCCCTCCCACAGTTCTGCTCTCTGCACAGGGTATGTACAGCACAGTGATGATGTCACTGCTACTTTTGCAAGGTGATATCTTGGTTTATAAAGACATTTCATGCACACAAAGTAGAGTTCAGCGTCAAATGTGTTCTTCCATATGGATGGTTAAATATTATTATCATACGTTCTTACATATGGCTTTATTTTTCTGCAGGGTCATAAATTACGCGAGACACTGACTCCTGTCTTGAATCTCCTGACTGAAAGTTCGCGGGTCCATCGTGAGACACGCAAGTTCCTCCGCGCAAAAGTAAGCATTTAAATTCAGGGCTTCTAGTTTCATGAGTATTAAAATGGCATATCTAAAATCTCATATAAGTTGGGTGATGTTTGAAAGCTTATCCCGTTCTCTGCTCTCTTACATAAGACATAAACCTTTTCTTTTTATAGGTTTTGCCTCCTCTGAGGGATGTAAAGAACCGTCCAGAAGTGGGGAACACTCTGCGCAATAAGTTAGTTCGTCTGATGACTCACGTAGACACGGATGTAAAGCACTGTGCAGCCGAATTCCTTTTTGTCCTTTGTAAGGAAAATGGTGAGTAACATCAGAAGTCAATGTCCTTCTCAGCCAAACGGGTATAAGTGGTCACAATACACACGTTTTAAAGTTGAACTCTGGCAGAAAGTAAAATCTAAACTGAGAGGCTGTGATTAGGAGTAGTTCTCTCTGAACACAGGTTCAGCAGCCATTTCACTTTGGCTGAGGCTTTGTGCAGAAGACCTGCTCCCGATCATAGTCTGAGCTTTCTTTACTTTTGATCAGGAGCAGTTCTGCGTTCAACCTCAGTTGCCAATTACATCTGACGTAGTGGCTTCAGGAAGCATAGGGCAGCCGGAAAGAGAAAATTCCAACATGCCTGGAAGTGGGGGAGGCCTGTTACTTTACAATAAAGTATTAAAATAATTGCCTAGAGGAAGAAATATTGAACTAAAAGCACTATTATAATAATATAAAAATATAGTACTTGTTCTGGTAACAGGGTCTCTTTAAAACTTAACACATGCAGGATTATCAAAACTTGCGCCGTACGGCGTAACAAAATCCTTGCCAAAAGCATCAGCACTGCACTGCTATTGCAGCTCTTGAAACTCCAATGAAAGTTAACATTTACTTTAAAGCGTACCTGTTCGTTCGTTCCTTAAAGGTTGCCATTTATTGCCTCAGTCATAAAAACACTTAAAAAGGAACTCCAGCTATTAACAAATGCAACCCTTGCAATGGGGCTACCCTCGCACTACAAGGGTTAACTGCTCATTTTGGTCTAGGTGCCAGAATATAGAAGATCTACTCACCTGATCCTCGGTCCTGCGGTTGTAGGATGCTCCCCTCTCTCCCCTTTCACTCTGACTGTCGTATGTCCCTCGGCATCCTCGCATCTAATGCAGGTGAATGGGCCTGCATTAGATGTGATGATTTTACTGGGGCTTAGACCGTCCGAGTCCGGGGGAAGAAGAGGCTGTGGGGAACAGTCTTGCAGCATTGCGGGGGTAGCCCCACTGAAAGGGTTAATTTGGTTAACACTAACAATTGTAGAGAGACGTAAGCTATAAGATTCCAACTTTGTACCTTCTACTTTACTGGCAAGCATTTAGACTCCACTGGAGCTCCTCAGACTGCCTGTGAAATGTAAACTTGTGTGATTCCCCCGATCCTCTACCTTCAATGGTGGAACAAAGGGCCCTGGTGCAAGATTTTTTCTCAGGGCCCCCCCTTCCTGCTCCCGGGGTAGGCCCGGGAGTAAATCTCACTGGCCTCTCATATGGAGGAAGGCGCAGGGGGGCAGTTGTGGAGGATGGAGCAGGGGTGATGTGCTTGTGATGGGGTGTTATAGAACATAGTTGTACTTGAATCTTTCATGTTCAGCTATGTTCTATCCCATGTTCTAACATGGCAAGTCACCTCAACTGTCTGATAACATCCTCCTGGCTGGTGTCCATTCACACAGCCGGAGGAAGCACGGGGAGGGGGGAGTAGCTGTGAAAAGAAAAACATACTCACTGAGCAGTCAGACGAGCAGTCTCTCTCTACGCTATCAGGCAGCAGCTGCTTGCTGGGTCCTCATGCCCGAGGCCCCAGGGTGGCCCTATTAGCTGCCTATCTTGTGTCCACCGCCTGACACGCTTGTCACTGCCCGTGGACGGTGCCCCCTCACCACCACCTCTGCACCCGGGACACCCACACTGTTGCCCCCTCCCTGGGTTGTTAAGCCACTGCCAGACTGGGAAGCGGCATCGGCTGCACCACCGATAGTTCCGCCCCTGTGTGCCTTTTAAACTTTTAGTAGTTCCTGGCATTGTAGGATTCTGGAGGAGACATGCCTGTACTTTTGAGTTTCAGGAGTATAGCATTTGAACTCACAGTTTGGGGTTTGCAAAGATTCTCTAGAGATCAGAAAATGGCATGCTTCTATTTTGGTGCTTTACACTGCATTTAGGGAATAAAGTCAGGTGCCTACAGGCATCAGGTAGCCTGGCTTCTTCTCCAGTGCTCAGCATCAGGTAGCCTGGCTTCTTCTCTAGTGCTCAGCCAAAAGCAGATGGGGTATGGCCACTGTGCACATATAAACCTTTACTTTTTACAGCTGCTTGTACAGCGTCCTTTTTGTGACCCGTGTGGCACACACCATAAGAGTTTGTGCAGCCAGTCAGATTCTCCCTTTGTACTCCTAGTGGCAAATCTACATTTAGAACCTGACTGTTTCTATTAACACGTGCACTTTTCATCACCTCACCATAAACAGTCACTGCAGAAATGTATGTTTATCATGAATGAGCAGTTTTGTGACTGATACCTTTTCTTTGCCACAGTGTCTAGATTTGTGAAATACACAGGATATGGGAATGCTGCTGGCTTGCTTGCTGCCAGAGGGCTGCTGTCAGGTGGCCGTGGGCAAGGTCGATATTCTGAGGATGAAGACACAGACACAGAAGAGTATAGAGAAGCTAAACCTAAGTAAGTATAGCATCCCTCATTTATAACATTGTGTAAAATAAGAACTCTTTGAAATGGCCTGCTGCAACCAATCAGAATGAAATAGACATTTTCCATCTATCATTTCCCCCTACAGGTCTGAATCTGTTCAGTGGCTTCAAATGCATTTCTTATTTCAGACACTAATAAATGAGACCCAGTTTGCTTGTATGATTGAGTGAGAATGCCTCCATTGTTCTATTGCCCTATAGGATGCATATGTAGTGAACATGGCAAACGCTATATATATTGTTTTTATTTTTTAAAATAAATAATTAATTGTTTTAAATGAACATGGCAAACGCTATATATACCGTATTTTTCGCTCCAAACGCTATGGAGCGAATCCCGACGCCCGAGACATGCAGTTTCGGGCGCTGGGCGAGTAGTAGGAGCCACTGCTCGTTTAATACGAGTGATCTAATGAGATCACTCGTATTAAAGCCGAGCAGCGGCGGCGGCGATCACGTTCAGCAGTAGGAGCCACTGCTCGTTCAATACGAGTGATCTAATGAGATCACTCGTATTAAAACCGAGCAGCGGCGACGATGGAGATCACCATAGAGCAGACGAAGAACGGACTTTCTTCGTCTGCTCTGTGTGATCACTGAGACCGTGGCGCTGTAATCACAGCGCCACCTGTGTCAGCGGTCACTAACTGCAGCTTCTGTCACAGCTTCTGTCATAGAAGCTGTTTCAGAAGCTACAGTCTGTCGAGTGCTCCATAAGGCGCGCCGGACCTCCCTGCGTCCTATGGTCCGGTGCGTCTTATGGACCGCAAAATACGGTGTGTGTGTGTGTATGATGCTAAACCAGCTAAAAAAAGCATATAAAGCAAATCTTTATTTTATTGTGTTTGTGCAGCATTAACCCAGTGACAGGACGCGTGGAGGAGAAACAGCCCAATCCCATGGATGGCATGACAGATGAGCAGAAAGAGTATGAGGCTATGAAGCTGGTCAGCATGTTCGATAAGTTATCACGGTTAGTTGCTATCAGATTTTTTCAGTTGGTTCACAGCTCTGTGGCTATGTGGACTATAGTGCTGCATCTGGGATATTCTCTGGGAATGCAAATAAAAGTTAGGCACTCGGTCCATTTAGAAACCTTAAAAGTGGTCCTTCAGCTCAAGATATTAAGATGTGAAGTGCCAATGAAAGAAAAGAGAAGCCAAACATCCAACATCAAAGCATTTATTTATGGTATGGTAGATAAAAGTTATACAGAACATACTTTACTGGTCAAAAGTTTTAGAACACCCCCATTTTTCAAGTTTTTTTTTTAATGTAAGCAGATTAAGTCCAGTGAATAACCAAAAAAGGGTACAAAGGTAAACGGCCAGAGGTGAAAAAAGGAAGTTTAGGTTAACAAAAACTGAATAATACAACACCAATTTCCTACACCATCAAAAGGCACTTGGAAACTGGAGGAAACTGACAGGAAGGGGCCTGGCAGACCCAAAGCCACAACAGAATCAGAAGGCAAGTTTCTGAGAGTCAACAGCTTGCATGACAGGCGGCTCACAGGACAACAGCTTCAAGCACAGCTTAAAACTGATTGAACAAAGCAATCTCAGTTTCAATTGTGAAGCGAAGACTTCGAGCTGCAGATTTAACAGGTTGAGTGCCAGTAAGAAAGCCATTGCTAAGATGGCAAAATAAGAAAAAGAGGCTTTCCTGGGCCATGAAGCACCGCCAGTGGACTACAGAAGACTGGAAGGTCTTATGGACCAACGAATCCAAATATGTGATCTTTGGTTCACCAGGCTGGGTGTTTGTACACCGTAGAGTAGGTAAAAGGATGGCACCAACTGTCAAACATGGAGGAGGAAGCGTGATGGTTTGGGGCTCTTTTGGCTGGACCAGTGTCAGCGACTTGCACAGAGTTGAGTGGCACCCTGAACCAAAACTACTACCACAGCATTTTGCAGCCCCTTGCAATACCCTCTGGTGTATATCTAGTTGCTCAGGGGTTTATATTATAGCAAGATAATAACCCAAAACATACCTCCAGGCTGTGTCAGAACTACCTTAGAAGAAAAGAACAAGACAGTAGGCTTAAAATCATAGAATACATTTCAATAACAATGGAGTGGGACAAAGAGGGGTGGGAATAGGCAGAGTTTGTACTTTAGCAGGCAGGGCTAGATTGGAGTTTCAGTGAAAAAAAGGCAATGTGTTGTTAGCCTATACAGGTGTTATAGGTGATACAGGATCACAATAGATTTATGGCTGATCAACAGGTATTTTTATGTACATGCAGTTTTGATAAAGGGATACACTTGCAAATGGTATGTATGGGAAAATGTACTGAATGTTGTTTTTCCCCCTGGCACACACTTGTTGTTTGTTTCCAAATTGCATTTACCTGGCGAATGTTACATTCGCTGACTTTATAAATATGTGCCTAAGGGCTAGTTCACACCAGCCCCAGTGCATTCCGAGACAATTCGGTACTGGATTGCATCCCGGCCGGCTCACTGCATACTGGGGCGGGAGGGGGCAAAGCCATTGTCAATGGCACCGCAGCCACGCCCCCTAGCTGCAGTGCAATTGCCCACACCGGAACGCGTGGCACATCAATGCCTGCGTTCCAGTCTTGTGCGATCAGAAAAAATGCTGCATGCACCATTTTTGTTTGTACTGCACCGGAACACAGGCATTGATATGCCACTGACTGATATGCCATTGACTTCAATGCACCGCCACACCCCTCCCACCCCAGAACAAACTGAGCCGGCCGGGATGCGATCCAGTGTGTTCCGGCACCGAATCGTACAGGAACACACTGGGGTTGGTGTGAACTAGCCCTTAGACGCATATTTATAAAGTCCGCAAATTAAACATTCGCCAGGTAAATGCCATTGACTTCAATGCAGCGCCATGCCCCCTCCCACCCCACAACAAACTGAGCTGGCCAGGTGTGATCCAGTGTGTTCCGGCACTGAATCATGCAGGAACGCACTGGGGCTGGTGTGCACTAGCCCTGAGTGTGCATATTTGCGTTTTTGAGGGTCAGTCCATTAAAAAAAAGTTTATTTAATAGGTTTTTACTGCAGGTGCTAGAGAATTAAATTCCCTAAAGTTCCTTTTGTCTCAGGCAATATTGGTCATGAAATCTTAACTGGATTAAATTAAAAGAAAAATATTTTGCAAACCATAGAATTGGCTACTAATCACAGATCTGCCTTTGAACAAATCACTGATCTATGTCCAATGATGCTAAATAAACACTACCAGTCTAGATATGAAAACATAACTATAGTCCTATAGTAACTATAAAATAGGCGGATATACAGTGCAGGGCTGTGTGGGGACACCTGCACTGAACAGCTGACACTGGGCTGCTTATATGCAGCAGACTGCAAAGTCAATGTCAACACCTCCAGGAAGTGTTGATTTGGGGACTATAGGGGAGGGGGTAGATGCCTAAAAAGGGAGTTTGTTAAAAAAAAAAACAAAAGCAATAAACTAATAATGTGAAAATACATTGATTTAAACATAATTTGTCATGATCTTTTTTTAGAAAGTAAGCAGCGCTGGCAGATTCTCTTTAAAGGAGAACTATGGGGTCAGTGTTTTTCCCCATAGTTCTCCTTAGGGTAACGGGAGGACACAAACTAGCGTCCTCCCACTACATCTCGCGGTATACTGAGACGCCGGAGCGGATCCCGACTTAGATGATGGGATCCGCCCAGCTGCGTGACTGACAGCTGGCTCTGCCTATCTAGAGGCAGAGCCAGCTGTACCCGCCCCCTCCCCCGTCCGTTCCGCCAGTCAGTGCTGGCAGATCGGAGCGGGGAGAGGGGAATCCAGCCCTTACCCCTGTCACGGCAGAGAGCCATGACAGGATCGAGAGGCGAGCGAACCCGGTATGTGTTCGCTCACCTCCCGATCTACTGAGCCGACCTGTGACAGTCTCATTGTCACAGGTCGGCTAGAACTATGAGGTGAGTGAAAAGCATGGGTTTCTAATGGGTTTCTAGCTTTACCCAGCAGCTGGTTCTACAACCCTTCAACTATGATTTTTGACTTGAAAAACAGAAGGCGGGCAATCAGGATGGACTATTATGTTGCCAAAAGTTCAATTTTAATATTGGCTGTTTTCTTTAAAAAAAACTTTTTTTTCCTGTGTTGGTGGAACAGGGAACAGATCATCCAGCCCATGGGAGTGACATCTGATGGGAGGTTGGAACCTATAGATGAGGCCGCTCAGAAGATGCTACAGCAGCAGGAGTCGTCTGACCTGGAGACTGACTCCGACTAAATTACCCAGCTGGAGGGGATCACGGTCCAGAATCCGAGCCAAGCAGAGGCCACGTCGGAGCGACAACAGTTATCCAGACACCATAAACCACAAGGGATATTCAAAACCTAGTTTACTGTAGATGTATCTCTGAGTCCTCTGCTGTAGGACGGTCACTGGGACACTTGTAGCGTAACACGTTCCTTCTAGAGACTTCGGCTGCTGAGGACAGGGAGATGTGAAATTCCAGCTGCCGGAGAGACCCATCCAAGAGTCCTAATTGGTCTCCTTGGGTGTCTTGTTCCAGATTGAAGGTCTTACAATCTGCAGAAGTCCAAGGAAGCAAGCACAAAGCACACTCTACCCACTAGAGGGCACTGTGACAGCACATAGCGCTTCCTTTTGTACACTGTCTCCAAAGGATGGGATGAATGTTTGCGGTTCAGGATTCTGGAAGACCACAGATGTGTATAAAATGGTTGCAGAGCTTTCCTTTTGCTGTCGAGCTAGTGTTTCCTTATCTTGGACTTGCTGCACCTGTAAATGGGTTTATCTGCTTACTGCGCAGGTTGTAAGTTTCTGTATTCAGTAAAAATAAATGGCTGCAGTACAAATTTTGTAGATTGCAGCACGCTCTGTTAATTGGCATAGTTGAACGGGCATTTTTATAAACCTTTTGGAAACACTTGTGTTTCCATTCCTTACTACCGTGTCCCAAACTTGACCTTGAGTACCACTTGCACGTACAGATGAGTAAATTGGTATACGTAACATAACATCGCCTATAGGAGAGCACATCAGAACCAGTGCTCCCATTGAAAGATTTCCCATTTATTCCTGTTCAGGTGACAACGCCAAAATGTAGGATTTGCTTTCAATTTCAGTGATAACGATTGCCAGAACAAATGGAGAGAGTGAATCTCCCTTACTGGGTCACTGACAGCAATAAAAGCCTAACTGGTGTTCTAATGCCTCATCATTCTATCCAAAACAAAAAAGTGTTGGCCCTAGTTACACTTTAAGACCAGGACTCCTGTGACGTAAGGCCACAATGCTGCTCACACATTTTAGTTCAAGTACCAGGCGTGGTATTTAAGATTCCATATGTCCCTTTGCACTGCTGACCGGAAAACCCCAATGCAACAGGGTGGGCGCAGCAGTGACAGCAGATGCCTCCGCAAATCTCATGAAACCGATAAAAAGTCACTTGCACTCAAAAGCGATGCCAAGTCAATCTTTTTATTGACTATGGTAGTGTAACATCTCAGAGGGACGTTTCAGAAAAGGCATTTTCTGTTTGCCTGAAGAAGGGACCCCTGGGTTCCGAAACGTCCCTCTGAGATGCTACACTACCATAGTCAATAAAGAGATTGACTTGGCATCGCTTTTGAGTGCTAGTGACTTTTTACTGGTTTCAGGCGCAGTATTTAGACACAATAGAAACCACATATTTTCCAGTTGTCTTTTCAGAGTTGAGGACAAAATAATTACTGTTGGTGATACTTAAGGTTCACTTTGGGAAATTATGCCTGAAAACCAGGTTACCCATTACTGTATATTTGTTTTTTCCTGATCACAGTCTGATTTATTGATCTGTCTGCAAAAAGAACTGTACGTATGGCTCTGAGTCTTCCTTCATTTTGGATGCATTGGCAGAATAAAAGGAAGTATTTGGCTGCTACGCATTACCCAGACAGTTTTCTTCCAGACATATCAATAAATCTGAGACCGTAGTTGTCGCAGATCATGGTAGTAAAACCAAAAGTAGCAATGCACATCATTAGTCGGTATCTGCTATGAAGGAGCTTAGAGCCCATAGAATGTTATAACAATGTTGGATGTACATGTAAGCATTTTATTTAATGTCTGTGAAGGATCAGTAAAGTTACATAGAGTATTATTACACTATTATTTTGTGTCTAGATTAGCTCAGAAAGGAGAAAACTGTTATGAACAAATAAAAAAAAAAACGACAATATCAAAGATAATTTAAACACTGGAGTTAAAAGATGTAGTGTATTATCCATTTTATAAAATTGCCAGATATTTCATGTGATTGTGTGTGTGTTTTTTTTACACTTGTAAAATAATTTTGAAACGGCTAAAAAGATTTTTTAAAAGCTGTAAGCACATATGGGTGTATTTGTAAAACGTTTGCAGAGCAAATAGCTCTGCGAACTTCAGAGTATTATATTTGCAGCGTATTACGGCCACTAGATGGATCCGAGGAGCATAGGAGTGTCCCATGCTTCTCAGCTCCATCTAGTGGCCATAAAACATTGTGACTATAATCATGAGACATTTGCAGAGCTGTTCACTCTGTGAATGCTTTATACATACACCCCAAAATCTCTGAATTTCCCTGCTGTGGCACCTGTTAGTAAATATAAGAAGATAGTCTGCATTTCTCTTCTCTATGAATGGCACCCTTACCGGGGCACACAACGTTGGATTTTAATTAGTCAGATTAAAAAAAAAATGAAAGCGAATTGTAACTCTAGCCCGAAGGCAAAGCAAGGCAACTTTTTCTTCTTTTATAACTCGTATATAGTTTGTTACATGAAGGCAAAGCAGTGTTTTGGAAACCTTCTTCCATATGAGATATGAGGAAACCAAAATCCAGAAGCGGTCCGCTCCATCACAATTCTACCATGATCAATAAAGGCTGTTGATGGAAGTGACCAAGATGGAAAGAAGGGAAAATACATTTTATTGTGACTGTAGAGTTTTACAATTCATTGATTTATACAATATATACACAATATATACAATCTATCTCTACAGTTAAAGGGGCTTTTAAAGTGATCCTGTACTCTGGACAAAAAGTAGATGTATAGCATGCACCATAAGGCAAGCCCTTTTGTGTGTAAGTGTTTGAGCCTGACTGATAATTGGCTGCGGAGGCACCAAGCACTGTGTTGTGTGAAGAGGAGTATCACATGTGTGCTCCATACCTGGACCTAAAAGGATTTTTTGGGGGCTGTAATGGTGGATTGTGGTGTGAGAAGACCCATTTTAAATGTGCTGTGTAGTGCACCTGCTGTACTTCTTTGCCTTGCTTTAAGGTGACACTGGACTCAGGAGTTCAATCTTGAGAATACATTCAAGTACCTTGACTATTATAACAACTATTTTTATCTTATTTGTGCATCCTCAAATCATCTCTGAATTGGTGCTGACACTGTCCTTCCTTCTGGAGCGTGGCTACTTTTGTTCCCCATGTGATGAACTACAATCTCACATTTACTCATTTATTATTTATACTATTATATATTATTTTACTAATTTGTATTCAAGTTATAGACCATCACAGAAGCGAGCTTGGAGGGTGGCTACTTTATAACCTACACAGGGACCATGGGGAACAAAAGTAGCCCTCCTCCAGAAGGAAGAGTCAGCACTGATGATTTGAGGAGCCGAGTGATGCACAAATAAGGTGCAGTTTTGTTAAAGTACTTGAATGCATTTTTAATATTTAGCTCCTGAGTTTAGTGTCACTATAAGGTTTCCCTTTATCGTATAATGCAGAGGAAGATGACTATCTGTAAACCCATAAGAACAGAAAACATAGGAGAAGCTATTGCTGGATTTGTTTTAAATGTCTTGATGTTTAGTGATATTGGCACTCTAGGTGGTCGCACACAGTTGGGGCCAACTCGAAAACAATTTTTTTTTTTTAAAGAGTAATGAAAGGTTTGAACCACTATGGGGTTTTAAAAGTACATAGAGGAGATTTTTATTCTATTACTGTTCTGACACCTTTCACCTGGACAGGAAGTGAGGGAAAATCTGTAGCGTGTTGACACCGCAGTAAAATCCTAATAGAGGTTCATAAACCTTTTAAGCTCTACTTAGAAATAGTTTCTATTGCTGCTTGTGTCCTCACAGGTAAGGAAGAGCTCTGTTTCGGACAAAACCCGCTCCAGACTTGAGCTTCTCCGAACAAGTAAGTCTAATAGACACTTCCACCCAATCATCTGTGGGCTGAGGCATTCGCCACTCCGCAGCTGCGTATAAACAAAGGGCTGGGATGCTTGTGCTGATGTCATTTACCAAATAAAGGCATGTAGCCATAAAAGGTCAAGGACGTCACTGCATCCTGCCCTTTTGCTTTGTCAAGCTGCGGGTGGGGAACTTCCTCCATGCAGCTGATTGTGTGGTATGGAAGGAGCATCTCCACTTCTCTAGAGTCCAGTGGCGGCGTGCTTTACACCACTGCATCCGACGCTTTGCATTGCACTTGGTGATGTAAGGCTTGTATGCAGCTGCTCGGCCATAGAAACCCATTTAATGAAGATCTCTACACACTGTTGTTGTGCAAATCTGAAGGCCACATGAAGTTTGGAGGTCTGTAGCTATTGACTCTGCAGACAGTTGGCGACTTCTGCGCACTGTGCGCTTCAGCATGCGCTGACCCCTCTCTGTCATTTTATGTGGCCTACCACTTCGTGGCTGAGTTGCTGTTGTTCCCAGTTGCTTCCACTTTGTTATAATACCACTAACAGGTGACCGCGGAATATTTAATAGCAAGAACATTTCACGGAACACCTGAATCCCATGATTTGGAGGGGTGTCAATACTTTTGGCAATATAGTGTATATTAAATTTTTTTTCCCAACAGGTTTTTATTTTTACATTTATGCTGCTATTAACAATGAGGTAGGGAGTCATAACATATTAATTAGACCTTGTTTTTTGCTTAAAGGACTTGTAAAATCTTTTGAGTTTTTTTTATAGCTTTAGCCTTTTGCAAAATTGACTTTTCTTTCTTTTATACAGTTTTTATTACATTTGACTGAAAGTTGTGTTTTGCCTGGAGTTCAATTGAAATGACGTTTTAATAGCGTTACAAAACCACTGGAATGTCTAGATCGCCTTTTCCGTTAGAAACGAGTTATGCAGCGTCAGCTCAATGCGCTTCATTAATTATCTTCCCTTAGGCTTGGGAGCTGCCTTGTTCGACAACACTGTTTTGTGATTTCAAGTGCAAGGGAAGAATGGCGTGTCGTCCTATGGGTTGAAATACTTTGTTAATTTGATGCTGTCATGAAGCTCTTCCTAAAGGTCACTGATACTTGGAACTGCCTGGACCTGTCCCCACAAACTGCAGCGTCACCGAAA